TTTTCTCGGAAACATAGTTTAAAACAAATTCATTATAGGACAAAAAATAAAAAGCAGTCAATCGCCTGTAAGAAAAACTTGTTATGGTTACTCTGTCTCGCACGGTTTTGAAGTTATAAGCATTCATTTATATATCCACCTTTTTCAACAGGCTGTAGCTCGAAAATGAGAACATCCGCCCCGTCTGATCATTTTCGGAAATTGATCAAATATCATCCTTCAAGTTATTTCTCACCTTAAGTGAAACTCCCTGAGATGAATAGAATAAAAATTCAATTAACTTTTTGAATTATTGAGCGTTGGTATTACTAAACTGTTGGCATCAAAAATTAAAATTAGAAAATTTTATAAATTTTAAGTTGACATAAAGTTTTTTTGGATAATTTACAATTATGTTTGCTTTCTGAAATAAGTAAATATGAAGGAAAAAAACTTCATTCCAATTACTGTATTTTGCCGAATTTTTAAATGACCTATAAAATATTTTATACGTGTATAATAAATTTTAAAATTAAAGAAAAAACTGTGTCTTTAAATTCTACTCAAAGAAGTAGAAATTTTGGAAATCCCGTGCAAAGATGAGACGTTTCATTATAATATAAAATATCAAAAATTTCTAGAAAGTAAGTAATAAATAAGAATAGTTCATACAAACTATTATGGTTATTATGAAAACCTTCTTTGTTGTTCTTGTTGCATATTTCCATTACTGTTTTTTGTGTTATATAGCATATTTTTCCACGTAATGCTTTCCAATTATTGTATGCAAGCTTTCCAATTTACAAATTTTTTAAAAAGAATGAAAATTTTCCACCATTTTTAAATACATAGTTTAAAATATGCACATACCTACATATATTCCCTAAAAATATTTGTAGTGTTGAATATGTTCTGTTTAATTTTAATTGTTATACAATCGGCATTTTAGTAAATACCTTTAATTTCTTACTAAAATATATTGGATTAAACTTTATCCACACCATAATTTGCTTGACTTTAGGTTTTTTTTATACAAAAATTTTTATCTGTTCAGATAACAAAGATAGAATTCATATCAATTGTGTGTTTAAATAGAATAGAAAATATTTATCCAAAAATTCAATTAGTTAATTATTATAGAATAACCAAAATGCAGTTTAAAGAAAATTTTTTAGTCTTAAATTCTGTTTTTTTAGTCTTTGACAGAGATTTAATTTAAAAAACTTCTATTAAAAAAGATAAGATATATTATGTAAAATTATAATACAGCACCTTTAAACTTTACTCACATGATTTCTTCTCTGCGTCTGTCTTATAATCAATGATAGTATCGGGTCTTTCGAACTTGTTTACTACTATCTCTTTAGATTTCATTTTTTTTTTGCAAAAATATAATTTATATGATCGTAATAAATACAATTTTGCAAATCAAACTAAGTACTGCAAATAAACAATAAAAAATTGGTTTTAAGATTTGTATGCATAGCAATATTTCAAGCCATGTGTATACAGGTTGTTTCACATAAGATGGTAAATAGTTTCAGGGATGATCCTTTGATCAATTTCCAGCAAAAAATTTTGTGCATGGAGTTCTGCAGATATACTCCTTTTCGACCTACAGCCTGTTGAAAAAAGGGTGCAAAAATTTTTGCTGCATACAAATATCTTCATTTATACACTTCAATAAGAGCTAAAGCTAACGATATAACATTTTTCTCTACCACTCACAGTTTTACTAGTAAAACGTATTAAATGTGTTTGAAAACTATAACAATTTCTATACTCATAAATAAAAATTTCTTCACACACTCTTTATAACTTTTTGCTGGGAATTGAATCAAAGAATCATCCCTGAAATTGCTAACCACCTTACATGAAACACTGTGTATATACATGAAGTTATGTATATACACATCTATAAATATATAATATGTGTTCATGTAGGTATTAACTCTAAAGTTTTATTTCTAAATGATAGCATAAATACACTTCTAAAACTTAAGGTTAATGTGTCAAACACATATTTTTCAATTAAGTTCAATTAAGTTATAATTAAGTTAAAATGTGTTTTTAAAGTGTATACATAATATTAAAATAATATTAAATATGTTCGTATGTATGTATGTAACCAATGAAAAGAATGCACATGTTATACATATACATATATGTATACACATTTTCACTTAGCTTATTCCAAACTTTCAACATTGTTTAACCCAGATGAAAATATAAAATGAAGTTATGCAATTTTTTAGATATTTTAACCTCGATGAACATAACTTTTTATCTTTAATAACACAATATGGAACAAGTAGTTTGTCGCCCCACAAAGTGTTTTTTAAGTTGTAATTAAAACAGCAAATTATTTTAATTTAACTTGTACCTACTTTCTCTAGTTCTATATAATTTGTTTGGGTTTTTTACTTTAAATCTAACAGTCGATCTTTAACATTGACGCGAATCATACATTATCTTTTTAAACGAAATGCGTAATTGAACAGACACATTAATTCAATTGAATGATGGTTCAATACTGTTATAAAGCTTTCAGCAAGTGATTCTAAATAATATATTTTGTTTTATTAATTTGATTTCGATAATTCTAGATCATCGAACATACGAGTACATAATTATGCATATATATATATATATATACATGCGAGTAAGTAATAAATAAATTGATACTATTGAGTCAAGTATAATATGTAATACTATATTGTTGAAGTGGTCATCAAATTATTATAAAAATGTTTATGCCTTAATCTTAAATAAAGTAGCAATAAATTTACATTTTCGAAAATAAAAGCTCTGAGTTAAACTGTAGTTTGAGCTACAGTCAATACCACGCTAAGATAAGTAAAGCGAAGCGCAATCATTTTCTTGAAGTTATTTTTAGGAGCAATTTTAACTTGTATTTGGATTATACACACTTCTTTTCTATTTGGATTATAAAAACATTTCTCTATACATGACGTGAATACTCACAAGGCGGGGTTTTTTTTTGCCTCTTCTGTAGTGTATTGTAATGAATAACCTGGTCGTTCCCCTCAGGTTTTTCCTGACTGGGGTTTGACACTACGTTGATGATGTGAATTTTCGTTCGAGACAAATTTGAGAGCATGATCTTTAATCTTCTGCAAAAGAATCTCAAGGTTGTGGAGAGGTGGTTTAAAGCCGTCGGCTTAAATAAATATACTAGCAAGAACACTTTGGTTGTCCGCAAAACGCATGAGCAGAGTACGCAAAATGCTACTTTAGCGAGTGCATTGCGTACTCCAAAGTGGTTACGTATCTTGAAGTAACCCTAGATAATCGCCTCTCCTGTAATACTCATAAAGAAAGGGTCATCGAGATAGGTTCAAAAATAACGACAATCTTGTAGACATGTGGGAGTTTTGTTGGCAAGACTTGATGCATTAGTACTGTAGTAGTAATAGTCTACCTAGGTATGAATACCACAAGATGCAATAAGCAAAGTACTCTTATTTTATCTTTCTATAAAATGACTGTTTTTGTTATGCACGAAACACTTATTTTAAAGAAAGTTCATGGAACAAAACTAGCTGTGAATTTGTCATTACACTTTTGTGATTTCAATCTTGCCTCGACTTACACTGTAAGTCGTATCAAGATGAATGATTGTTTTGATTGTATTAAGATGAAAAATACTTTACTTAGTTTTAGAGTGGAAAACGGTTAATATATTAAAAAATTATACTATCTTTGTAGATGATTGTTTTAAATAGAACTGGTTTATTATTAACACTCAATACTTATCTATTTGTATATAATATATAATGATAACTATGTATTATATGTGAATGTGTAGTTTATTTATACCCATGTGTAAGTAATACCTTATGTATTACTCCAAAAATTCAAAAAAAATAATTTACTTAATTATCAATAAAAATATAATTAAAAATTCGAATAGTTTATTCAATTGTAATTCATTTATTTCAGATAATGTTTTTTAATTTAAAGTTGAATTATTAGCATTTCAATTTTTTAAAAATAATACAAACATTTAAAATAAAAAATAGGTGTTGATTTTAAAAATAACTTTTAGTAATTGTATTTAAAAGTTTTGTAATTTTAACGATAAAGTTGATTACGAATTCTTGGTTTTTGAATTTCTGGTACATCTGATTTTTTCTCTAGTTTTTATGCAATTTAAATATTTACCCTAAAAAGGATTTTTCCTTAATTTTATTTTCATATCTATTTGCTTTTGTAGCTTGTTGAAAATATTCAATGTTTCACCTATAATTACTACCATCGACGTTCATCAGATATGATTTATTAGAGATATATCCCACTATTGTACCTTTAGACCAAATAAGATCTTGGTTTTTATTGAGTTCTACATATATATTTTGCCCAATTTTTAATTTAAGCCTTACGATCGTAATATAAATTATTTTTCAGCCTTCGCTTACTTAATTTGCTTTACTTCGTTCATGCTGCTAGTTTTAAGTTCTTGCTTTTGCTGGAATACCCGATCTTGTTCTTAGTGAAAATAATCTTTACGTAGGCCTACTGACAATTTCGTCAGGAGTATTTCTCCATTCAAGAAATGCTTCTTAAATATTTTTATCGTCATTTATGCTTTTTAAGTAACTTTTTAACTCTGTAAAGCCCTTCAATTCTTTACTTAAACAAGGAGTGCCATTATCCGTAACAACTGCTCAGGTGAATCATTTCAGCTAAAATTTTTGATAACTTTTGTGAGTGATGTCATTGCAAAATCAACCTCAAAGAAATCATAACAATAATACACTCTAATAAAAACACTTTTACGCATTCATATATCGATATTCCCAAGCAAAACTATGAATGCTAACTATGAAATTTAAGTTTTGCGTAAATCCAATTTAAAATTTTTTATTATTTTCAAACTTGCATATCTTTGGAAATATAAAAGCTATAATTTTCTTAGTTTTACACGATAAGTATTATTATCAAATATTTATTTCACAACAATAGTTAAGTTAAAATTTTTAATATTTTAAAGATTTGCGTCATAGTTAACATATTTCCGACTTAATATTGTAGTATTCTAAATCAACTAACTTGTTTTTTTTCCGAATTTTTTTTTAAAGTTTTTTGGGATAAGACGTCATAGCTTTTTTAATTTGGAATATTATTTTTATTTTGTAAAACTAAAATAGGTTAAATGTTTGTTTTAAATTATGGAAAAATAAAATTTGCTTAAGAAAAAAAAAGTAATAACTATAAAAAAAAATCTGATGTGATCAGTACATATTCGACCGCAATGTATATTGCCCACTTTAGTGAAAGTGTTACAGAAGATTATGAAAATGAATCTGAACACTTTCTTTAAATTTTAAGGAAGTTAGCAAGCTTTTAGCTAACATACCTAGAAAAATGTAAATTTAAAAATGTAAATTTTATCAATCCGTTACGCAAATAAGGTAAAAAATGTGTGCAACTGAGACCAGACGATTCTTCTTTCTTCACCAAAATTTTTATTTTTGAATTTGCTTTAGTTCAACATTGCTCATTTCTTAATGAATCAACTTCTTAGTTGATTCCTGTTTATATGTATGTATATTTGAAATAAAATTTTGAAAAGAAAAGAATATAAAAAGAGCGGATAATCTAAACGTTGGCGATTATTTAAAAATAAAAAAAAGCCAATATTCTTGTCGTTTTTCCGTTTTGAATTCCTTTCTATCTGGATGTGAATTATTAAAAATCCAAATGGCAAAAAAAAACGAAAACAGGAAAACTTTCCTTTATGTTATATATTCAAAGGCGAAAACGGAAATTTCGGTATAAAAATTCAAGTAATGAAAGAAGGGCACAACTCTTCTGACCCTACGGTATGTTATTATTAATTTTTACCAACATAAAAATGCTTAATATTTTATGTTGGAATCCTAGGTTTATTTTATCTAAATTAGGTATTTTTTATAAAGAGTACAGACACAATCTATAACAAAAATCACGACAACCTCATTTTATAGCTAATTTTCAAATAAATATATTTTTTACCCCTTTATTTTAATTTTAAATATATAAATAAAATTTAAAGCCATTTGTGAAGTATGTATAAATGTTTTCATATTAGTTACACTTTTGAGATGTTTATGAAAATTAAGTATCTAGTCAGAATAAAAAATTCCTGAATGGACTACAATAATTTTGTATATGTATATTTTGTAGCAAAATTTAAAATATTTTTCAAGGAATTTAAACTTATAAATAAATATGAAATGTCTAATAACAGGAATATAAATACGGTAGGGATATTTACGGAAAGTAGGGACCACGGCTCTCAGCATGGGTTTGGCTGAAAGTTCAGGGCGTTCAAAAAAGTCGCCAGTGGAAAAAAAAGGTCACTTGTGAAATTGATGAACCCACTTAGAAAGAGCGTAAGGGTTGCAAGGTACTCTCCTATGGGAGAAGTTGGAAAACCATAGAGGGTTATAAAGAAAGACAGTCTCAAGACGACAGCGAAAGTAAAAGATAATGTAAATAGTAAATACCCGTCACGTGAGGAAAGTTGACAATTCGCGTATAAGCGAGATGAAGAATCTGTGTAAGGAGCTGAAAGAAGAGATCTGCAAACTTAAGGCGAAAATTGAGGATTATTGGAACAGCAGAAGGCGATCGCATTCTTAAAACGAAAAGAAATTCAAAGAAGAGAAAAGCCAAGAATTCACCAGAAATGGAACTAGCACTAGAAATTAATAGCACCAAAGCAGAGAAATGCTCAACTAAACTCCAACAGGGAAAAATGCTCAACTAAAAAAACATAAACCTCCGCCGGTAATGGTTTAATTACTAAGTAAATATTATATAATAAAATTACAAGTAAACTTTTACATAATTACAAGCAGCTGATAAAAACCCTCAAAGAGGAAAGTATTAAGTGAAGATAAAGATGATGAACAACGGTTAACTAAAAATAAATGTTGGCAGTTAAAATAATTTTTTTTTCTTCTTGTTTTTTTTTTACAATTTCCCGAGGGAACATGGAGCCTTCACACAACCTCGTCACCGCACTCTATTTTGGGCCATGTTTATAATTTCTGACTAAGTTTTGTTTGTGCATTTTATTTCTTTCTGTATAGACGACATGGAGAAAGTCATTCTTGGTTTTCTCACTTTTACTCTGCCCTAGGGAGTCCATTCTAGCACTTGACGAGCTACATCTATTTCTGGGCGCCTGAGGATATGGTGGATCTATTATCATATCTTTCTTTTTATTTCCACATATGTCGGATCTATTCCTAATCCTCCTCGGTCTAAAGATCCCACATATCATTCTGAGGCATCTGTTAGCTCAGAATCAGAAGGCCTCTTTGGCCTTCTCGGCGAATCCCGGATAATAAGGAGCCGAGAGGCATTTACGTTGACATGTTGCCCCAAGAGAGCTCTATATCTCACCGCCTTTTCTTTAATTTCGTCAACCACAGATGGAATCCCTAGATCCCTGTGCAAATCTCCGTTTCGCACATACCAAGGGGCATCCACCATATTCCGCAAAACCCT